TACACCCCCACAGTCGTGCAATGCCAAAACGAAACGTCCAGTTAGTAGATCGTTAGTAAATCTCTCCGGGTTTACGCGCGCGAAGTGACGTATCACCGTTTCACCGTACGCTCCCGCTTCGTCCCGGCTTCGCGAGCGGACAATTCTCCCAGTCTTCTCTTTTCGTTTTTTCTCCAACGCAAAACTGAAACGCATTATCATAGTGTCGACGGAGGAGCGACGCGATGTGCGTGTGCCATTTGCATAAACTTATTCGCGCGCTTATTTACGTATCTATCGCGCGGTTACGAGCGTCTTTGAACTGAACGATTCGCTCCGCGCACGATCCTCACGGGTCAAAACAAAATCCAGCTGCCACCTCTTAGGAGAAGAGAAAAAAGGGGAAAAAAGAGAGAAGGATGGGATTACGCGGAATAATAAGTTTTTTACGGACGAAAAACGGTACGAAAGAGAGAAGCGGCGAGAAAGAGGGATTACCGCGCGACGCGCGGTAAGCGTAACCCGGCTGTATATCTTACCGAGCTGATCCGGGCATACGACGCAAGACCTACGTATAAGGAAGAAATATTTAAATATATATATATATATAAATATGTTATGTAATCGTTGCCGTGTATGTCGCGAATTTGTGTATGCTCATTAAGAAAAAAAGTCATCCCGAGCGGAAATTCTGCTGATAGCTGCTGTGCACTTTCTCTCTCTCTCTCTCTCTCTCGAATTAATATGTTGATCGCCCCAGTGACATTAAGAAGGAGCTCCCGACGTCACATGATGACGTCACGATTAAGATCAATTGTATGCTATTTTAATATGATAATTATATTAATTATTCATATTCATCCATTTCTCGTCTAATACTCTGCTTGAAGATATTATTGAAAATTTACATGTACTTGGCATGCGTTTACTTTCGTATTAATTATTATTCATCCAAACATTTACGATAACAATATTTTTCCGCGAGAAAAACAATGTTATGCAATTTAATTCGTATTTGGCAAGTCAACCCATCAACATATTGTTGATCGGTCACGAGAAAGTTTGTGTTTTTCCAGCCGAAAGTTGCTGACCGGCCGGCGAATTATTTTGCATTTTGACGATTGAGACATGGTTTTACATTTTCTTAGTTAACTTGTGGTTTAGACTTGGTGATACTGCAAAAATAGTATTTTCTATTCATAGTTAATCATTAAACTGATAGTTTTGTAGTGGTAACTTTTAAAGTTTAATGATTAATCATGAATGGAAAAGCACAATTTTTATATTATCATAAGGTTAAGTCGAAACCACAGGTTAAGCAGTAAATGAAAAACCGGGTCTAAGAGAGAAAAGTAGCCGGGAACAATGTTGTAAAAATAGTCAGTTAATAATGCGTTAAACTTATATTTAAAAATAATCGATGAAAGATAACAGAGACGGAGGTTCGTTGGTGCTTAAGATAATCGACACATCGACAATGTGTGAAGAAAAAAATTTTTGCCTGAGAAATTACTTTTCCTCAATGCGGTATACGATAATCATTGTCGGGAAACGAGCGATTTTCGGGGAAAATTACGCGGCGAAACGAAACAGCCGCGAGTATCGCGCGGAGGAAGTATCGAATAAACGGCTGTTTCACGACGGACACGCGCATTCACTCATACACACGAGCGACAGAATTACATAAGCAAAAAAGGTGAAGGTCGCCAGATTGGCTCTTTAGACGAAGCGCTCTTTCACGTGTGTTGTACGTTCTCGAATCTCTCAAAAAAATGCTGACACGAGTCGCGAGGAAGGACGTATCGGTGTCACCCTGATATCGACGGCTTTTGTCGCAAGTCAAGATATCGTTCGCTCGATAAGAAGCCACTTGTTACGATTCCATACTTGTTCGAACACGTCGGTGTTTCATGCTTCTTAAAACGCAACGTTCATTTTAAAAATATCCTCGCAGGATCGTTTTTTGCAGAAATCCCGCGCGAGTGCCGAATTCTCGCTGTGGCAGCTCGAATATTTTTCGAAAGTGCTCTAATGCATCGGTCTCGGGATTCAGATAGTAACGACGAATTCAAAGTATTGCTGGAGATAAAATCAAAATTGAATTTAAAACTGATATATTTCGTTAAAATTATTATGTATTTATATTGACCCGTTATATGTATCGCTAAAATTATTATATATTTATATTAACCCTTTAAACCTCGGCGTATCCTTAAGGATATAATTATAAAAATGAAAATATTTTGATCGGTCTATCTGTGTCGTCCAGTAGAGTGTTCTTGGAGCCGTCCAGTTAGTTATCTTGGGAGAAAAATTAATTACTGAGCTTTCATTAATTTCTTAATTTTTTATGATAAAAAATTTAATTATTTATGTAGCCACTTCTTAAATCAAACTTTTGAAATGCTATTTGCACCTATCTATTAAAATAATATTGAATTTCCAAAATGAAAGATCAGAAAGACTTGAAAAGGAAAAGATTTCGTGTTATAGCGATTATTCACTCTAAAGGAATTCGTCTAATTTTTTTTTATTACTCTTCGAGAATTTCTGTCAACTATCGCGCATCTTTCAAATTTTCCTCGATCTTAGAACCGGAGAATCGTTTCACGACGAGGCGAAATTTTTGCGTAATACGCGCAAAAGAGAAAACCAGCCGAGGTTTGCCTAATATCGATCCCGTGTGTGCATCCGAGAAGGAGCGACATCAGTACTAAACCCGAGAAACTTTCAAGCATACGATAACACCTTCCATTTCCCATGGCCCAGTATCGTTATTCGCCCAAGCTGAAACGCAGCGTACACATGCAGTATGACGAGTACAAACGACCGGAGCAAGTCGGTTGTGCCAACGCATTATATCAATCCCGACACAGTTATGAGACCCATCAAGAGAGAAGACAGAGAAAGAGAGAGAGGTAGATAAGCGGAAATCTCAAAAGTTTGCCAAGCACGCGAACCATCTCGAAAAGAGATGTTCCGTGAAATATTCGAAAGTTCTCACGCCAATATTTAACGTGAGCGCACGCGAGCTTTTTCAGAACACGGGAAAAATGATTATCTATGAATCTTATTTTTATATGCCTGTGCATAATCGTATATAATTATATACATATGTCTCACATCTAAAGAAAAATGTTGTACGAATATAATTTCAATAAGATCTTATATTTACCCATGGAAAAGAGATAGAGAGCAAGAGACAAAACGCAAAGAGATCGATCAGGCCTGAGAGTTATGTGATTCTACGACTCGCGGAGTCCTTTTCTCTCTCTCTCTCTCTCTTTCTCTCGGATCTTCCTCGCGCGTTGGTACACTCCGAAAGCGTTCCGGCCGCCAAGAGAAACCACCAACAAACACAACTCGATAGACGCTTGATACACTCTACGTACCAGGACAGGTCCTCGTGATAACGCAATTGTTAGCGAGCAACAGCGTGTCTTTGAGGCGCATACTGCGCCTCGCCACCCCCAGCAGCAGGTGTTCGCCCGCGTGTGCTCTCAGTAACGCCACTTGGTCGTCCAATATGAGCTCGCCAAACGCCGGAATAGATTTCGCCCAGCTGACCATGAGCAGCAATTGCTCCCTCATACTCTCGCACACGTCCTCTATGCTCGCTAATTTCATCGTTGCGAAATCGATCTCGCTGTTCGGACTGCCTGGCTAAAATCGTACGGAGTCGTCGCTATGTTGATGCTCGTCGGTTGTTCAAGCATTGCGTCGGAAGAGAAAAAGTGATCGGTTCCCGAAATTGCAAATTTGATCACGATCGACACGGATGTTTTGATTGATTTATATGATAATCTTATTTGACCCATAGATGGAAAAGAGACGTCAAGAGGATGACGTATTTTGGTCGTGAACGGACTAAGTGGACGTCACAGGTCGGATCTTAGGAGACAAAAATAGGATAAATATACACTGAGAAACCCATTTAGTTAGACTCAAACTCTTGTTTGGATGTGGGCAAACAAGGATTTAGTTTGAGTCAACTAAATGAGTTTTTTAATATAAAATTACCGATTATTTAAATACATTTCTTATAGAACGACGTCTAGAATATGATGCATAAACATCGATCATTAACGACGTCATAGACGAAAAATGAAATGGACGTCAATGTGACGCTCTCTGATGTCACTCTCCTATTTAGGGAGATTAATTGAAATCGATTTGCGCGAATCTTCGACTATAATGTACCGGAGAAATAATGAATATATTATCGAACGCGTGAACGTACACAACATCAAAGGAAAAGACGATCGCAATTAAAAGTTGGTGAATTATACCGGATTTTTGGCGCAATTGGCCAATGCGATTGCGACCATGCATATTCAATTAAACCGAGGTTAAGCTGTACTAACCTCAGTCCGCTGTCTGTTGAATATTTCCACGTGCAGCAAATGAACTGCCGACAGCCCGTTGACGTTGTTCGCCAATTGTTCTTCGTAGCTGGGTCTCCGGCTGCTTATGCGATCTCTCTCATTTTGCACAGCTGTAATTATTACAAGTTGACGAATAGTTTTCCATCTCTGTCTCTCTATTTCTCTTTCGTATGTAATGTAAATGAAGAAGCACCCGCAAGAGAGATAGTCTTCGAGGTACAATGATTGTAAATTTCAATTTCTTATGCGTTTAAAAATAGCGGGAGTTCGGCTACCTTTGTGTACGTGTCTTCGAATGCGCAGTAAAGGCCGTATTCCGAAATGTGCTGACATGGCTGTGAAAATCTATAGTTCACGTTACGTATATTAGGAATTTTCAATACCGTCAATATTTTTAGCCCATTTTCGGAACGCAGCCAAAATAAAATATGCACAGACGATTCGGCAAACTCACCCTCTTTCTTCATGCCGGCCTTAAAACACTTGCGCAACCGACAGTATCTACACTGATTCCGTTTGTCTTTGTCAACTACGCAGTTTCGGTTGAATCTGTTGGGAAAAGTTTGCTCGGTGAGGCACGATTTTGTAACAGAGTACATATGTATGATAGATAGGCACTTTTTTTCTTGCCTTAAAGCAGACCCTCTAAAGGCGTTTTGTAAATACGTATCGCATTATAAAAATTCATTATTACAAATAAGCCAAAAACATGCAATAACACCGTACTAAGTTGAATAACGGAAAAGGAAATGTACAAAACTAAAAATAAAAGTGACAAAAGAAACACAAACAAAGAAGTATAGATCATATGATTCAACATAAACTATATAAATAAAAAATAGAAGTGAAAACAATTATACACATATACAGTATATATCAAATAAAAGAGAAAAATAAGAATAAAATAAAAAAAAATAAAAAAATTTACTTTAGTATTTTTGTATTTAGTAGAGAAAGGAAGAAAAGGGAAGAGATGATAGTCGATGAAAAGTAAGGTTCAGGAGAGAAGATGGACACTTGTGTGGGAAAAAAAAGAAACGAAAAGAAATCGAAGGTGCGACTTACCGGCAGGTATACTGGTGATTCTTCCTGACGGATCGCCGGAAGAAACCTTTGCACCCGTCGCAGGACGAAGCGCCATAATGTTTCCCTGTAGCGCGATCGCCACATATAGCGCAATGTTGCGACAGGACACCGGTGACACCGGCGACTCCGGCGACTCCGGCGACGCCAGTGTTACTATCAACTCCGGTGACACCGGTGACCCCGGTGACGACTCCGGTGACACCCGAAGCGGCAAGGCCGAGAATAGATCCTCCCGCTGCTCCTGCGCCCATAGACAGATCAGCGTCTGCAACGCAAAGCATACGAACCAAATTTTGTTTTTCACAACCAAAAGATTTGTTTAAGCTAACTAAATGGATTTTTCAGTGTAAATATTGATAGATCGAACTAAATCTCAAGCTGTGTGGTATCACCGCAAATTCCCTCCGCGTACGATCTTTACTCAATTTAATTGTTACTTCGCAAGATTTCTCTTCCGACTAGGGAGCAGCTAATCCCACAATCATGTTATTCGCATTTTAAGCATACAGAACAGATTTAGGACAGATCGATTTCTTCGCATCTCTCGCCGAATATCTCTTGCCTTCTACAGTCTCGTAACTTGAAAAAAGCAAACGAATTTCGACGCTGAAAAAAGGATTTAGTAATGAGTATTAAAATTTGAACGAATATTTGCCGACCAAATATTTGATTGTTGCAACCAAACAATTTACAATTACCGTATACTAAATATACAATATACGGAACTAAATGATTTGCTTGCAATGGTTCGATATTTGGTCGGCAAATATTCACGGCAAATTTTCGTACTTATCACCAAATTCTTCTTTCAGTGCGCAAACCGAGAAGGAAACGATTGGCATTGCAAAGGGTTGGGATTCTAAAGAGCGGAACCGCCCCGAGAAAAATGTGCGGTTCGCGACGCGAATCCATCGCGCCGGATGAGACGGCGTGAATAATTCTAGTTTTTTAATAACGCAGACACCGCGCGCGATACACGCCGGGAGTCAGGCGGGGTTAAGTATGCAGATCGTCGCGGACCTTGAGGAAATGCATGCGACGATAAGGCAGCGCATTGAATGATAAAAGCGCGAGTACCACTCCAGCGAGATACTCGACTACTAGTTACGAAACTACGCGATCGATACGCGACACTTCCCTCTCCGCATCCGCCCGTCCCTCCGCGACGCTTGCGAATTTTTTTCGCACGCCAAGTGGTTACACAGTGCGAATGAGAATTTACGATATCAAATTGCGCTTAGGCTCAATCAACAGCGGTGTCAACTCAGCCATGTGGAGGTTTACTCGTGCAGCAGCTTCGCACACTTATGAAACGCGCGAGAATCCGCGCGTGTGTTTCTCGAGCCGGGAAAAAAGTGTACGACGTAACCTCGGCTAAGAGCGCATGGTGAATCGCGGCTGAATACTTGCCGAGCGTGACGAATCGCGTCGCATATTTTATATTGCGTATTTTCGTCACCGCCCCCTCTGTACGATAATGCGGCGGAGAGAGATATTTTCATAAATAGGATGGCATGGCAAAATGTGACTCTTTCGCTCTTTCGGACTGTACATCGAGTGTCGAGCGATTGCGTACGAAATGTCAGATTTGGAAAGTCCGGTGCGTAAAACTCTCCTGCAAGGAAAGCGAACGCCTTGACAATCGATTAGTACACGTTACGTAAGAATATATTAGCCGTTTTATCTTAACTCGTCTTGAGGGAGAGAATACTCCGGTCTCTTACGAGATCGTAGAAGGCAAGAAGAGAGATCCGGCGAGGTGCGAAGAGATCTGTCCTCGATCGATCCTATAATCCTATAATCGGCTTAAAATTCTTGCGAATAGTGTGGTTGTGAGGTCAGTTGAAATCAATTAAGAGAAATCTCGCACAGAGATAAGATTAGATTCAAGTAAATAATTACTCTAATACTCCTTGGCAAATTTTTACTTGGATCGAGTAACATTTACTTGATTCAAGTAAAATATTTTTCAATGAAATTATCCAACTAAATTTGTACTCGATCTAAGTAAAATTTATTCAATCCAAGTAAGAATTTGCTAAGAAGTATTGGAGTAATTATTTATTTACTTGAATTTAGCACTTTTTTCTGCGTGCGAAATCACAATTAATACCGTCGATATGTTACGCAAACAATATGATCCGAAGGCCTTGGAATAATTTATAACGCGTGATATATTTATAATTAATCGATACAAGGCAGCAATTTTTTTCCGTGTCTTTTTCTCTGCCAACCGTATCACACGATCGGTTTCTTCTTCATTATCTCGATCGCAAAAGAACGCATGCGCCATAGGAAAATTCACAATTAGAAATATTTGCATTGGAAATGCTAAATCTAAGTGCTCTCGATTCATAAATTACGGCCGACCCCGACAAGCTGTCTATAAATGCAGCCACGACGAAAGCGCATCGCGGTAAATACAGCACGATCCGTACAGCACACTTTTGCCAAGGAATATTCTATGGATATCCCTAGGACGTAGGGACGTATTTAGGATATCCTTCGGGCGTTTGTGCTATACGGAGATTGATACGATTCTACACGGAAAAAAAGAATTAGCTTCCACAATTAAAAACTAGCTTTCACAGCTAAAGACTGGCTCCCGCAGCTAAAAATTAGCTTCCACGGATAAGAATTAACCTTCCGTATAATACAACTAAAATTTAGTTAATTTAGCGAACTTTTTGTCCTTACATTGATCCTTTGGAATTTACAGGTATTGGAAAATTCAGGTAAAAAGTGGGTGTAAAATTTCAATTCAGGGACTAGGCTATTCCCTTTTTTACTTGCGATCGATGCGTTTTCCTCCGTGGAAAAATACTTTAGTGGCCTGTAAATACTTGAAGCCCGCGCGCTTTATAGTCGCATATGTGCACCGACGTAATGTATATTTATAATCTATATCTCACGCTTCACGCGGCGACTTCTTATTTTCTCCGCGGGCAATCGTACACATTTAAATATTGCGAGAATTATGCGGCGTTCAACAGCGGAAAATGCCATCCAAACAAGCGAGCGAGAAAGATGTTTCATTCAATGGATCTATTTTTATTTTTAATGAACGTCATGGAAATCGATGGAAAAGGCGTCATTCACGATGCACGCAGATGAAAGGAACCGTCAATCACAAAGCGCGCAGGTGTAAGGAATCGTTAAAATCTTATCGGGCTTATCGGATCTAATCTCAGAAATCTTAGAAATTTCGGAATTTAATCTCTTTCAGAAGTAACGAGGAAAAGAAACGGAGACTCGGGATTAACTCGCTGCCGTAACGACAAGTGGTTGATCGCGCTACTCCTTTCTTAGAAATATTACACTGTAAAAATAAAATGTTTATTTTAACATTATTCGTCCCAGGAACTTCACTCCAAATTTTGCGTTAAAATAACATGTTCGTCGTGTGTTACTTCTTAACACGCCGAAAATACTAATTATTTGACACAAAGGCATTTCAACGTCACAGACGGCGCGCGTGTTTAAATCCGCGCGTGAAGCGTGTCTCCGCGTTTCAGAGGGACTGTTTACTCCGAAAATATCCAAGTATCTCGACGCGCAGCGCGACAATAAGCGTTTTTCCGCTTACGCCCACGCCCGGGAGTGTCATTTCACTCGACTCCTCAATTTTGCAACACGAGTGACCGCGCGCGACGGGACGATCTCTTTTTTCGCTCGCGATCTGCCCGCGCGCATAAAAAAAAACTTCGCCGAGCGGAACTTTCGCAATCGTTTGTGCCATTACGGCACATTTAACGGGCCATTTATCGGCTTATTAAACGCATTTTCACGGCCCCGCGCGCAGGAAGGCAGAAAACTGTGCCATTGCGTTTCGCCGCTACATATCGGGGGGACATTTGTATGAATATAATCATTGAAATACACTCGCTCGTGTGTCAGGGGGGAGGGGGAGGAACGAGAAGAAAAACAACGTGCGCGAGACGACACGTGTCACTCACGGCTTATCGACGAGTGCATTTGTATTCGGTGAACATGACCTATATCCATGCTGCATCCACTTTGCATCGAATGTGACTGCATGAAAGTTCCAACTCGTCTTGTTTGATTCCGTTATTTCATCATCATTTTGTTTAAGTAATCTTATCATATACATATGATTATAATATATACGGAAAGTACGATTTTCTGAGTTTACCGTTGCTTTCTTTCTCATATAGATTCTTCTCAATTTTAACATTCATATTCTAGTAATATGCAGAAACAGTTCACCGGTAGAATTTATTCTGCTAAGATACTACGGTAAATGTTGCCAAGTTGGTTGCATCGCGTAACCAAACTCTACGGTTCTCTCAATCACAATATTATGTTGTACAGACAGACAGACAGACGGGCAGCAATATTCCTTCGATCGAGACACCTATATTTGAGAATATATCAATGGAACATTACATATGATAAGGTATAGTTGTGACAACTATATAGATATATAGTTATATATCAGCAGCAGATTTTAATACAAAATCTACTTAATTTTATTTCATATATATTTCTTTTGTAAATATAGAAAATATTGTTGTAGCAACCACAGCAGTTTTCTCCGTGAACCGTTCCAATGAATGGGGGATTCAATCGATTCGAGGTCCCGCTGGGAGGGATCGAAAGGTGTAAACCTGCCGAAAACTCGAAACTTGCGTTGTACCACGTGCTCGCCTCAACGTACGCTCACGCGCAATCGTATTGTGTTACCGTCGCGGCGCTTGCCGAAATAGCCTGTGTGTTGTAGCAACAAATTAATCGCGGGTGTCTGCGACCTTGGCATTAACGAACGATGATGACGACGACAAAGAGGGAGAAACGAGGAGGAGAAGGAAGAAAAAGGGAAGTACTATCGGGAAGCCTGACACACGTAATACGCGCGGTCATCGGCGAGACATCGCGCAATTCGAACTTTGGAACGGCAACAATGATACAGCGATACACGATTCGTCGCGCATATTCGCGCGATCGGCCCCGTTAAGACGCTTTTATCGCTCTACCGTGCATCAGACAGCAGAACCTACCGCAATGTGAACCAAAGTCTAACGCTTTTTCCTGACGCGCCCGTGCATCTATGAATGTGTGTACGTACGCGACCTCAGGCACGCTCGATCGCGATACACCTCTCTCGCGATAATAATGGGATCGCCGCCGGTTTGCTTCTGATAAATGCCCTTTGGTACTCACGTGGCGACGACGCGTCATTCGCGGCTCGGATTCGCGGGCGCGACTCGAATCGGGGGCGATTGCGAATCTCGATGCGCGATGATT